AAAATGCCCTGTTTATCTGTTATATATACTGATATATATGTGAGTTAAGATCATTCTTATTTTGGTATGGCCTACGTGCAAAAGTGTTAAGTCAAGAATCGAATGTTTCTTTCTGTCATGTCTCCAGCCGCTAGGCACGTTGGTCTCTGCCAGGCTTTTGCTCCCCCCCCCCCCCCGTACATCGTATTTACCTGGTCAGGACATCAAGGACAGCATGGTCAGAGGATGACCTACTTTCTCAAGCCCGTGTCCTGATATCATGACCTTCGCGTTAGCAAGCGACGTCCTATCCTATTTGTTTCATCGAGTGCCTAGAGATTTATGTAGCTTTGAAAGGTGATGAATTATCTAGATGATCTGGAAAAAAAGACTTTCTCATTAAAATTAGCTATTCATTATTATTTTATTATCAACCTCTTAGCTGGCTTTGCCCAGTGTGGTCCTCGCAGAGATAAGTTTAAAGGTTTAGTGAAACTCTCCTGTCATACTGACTGTCATTATTGTGACTAGGGGGAAAATATTGTAAAACTATTATTATTGTGACTAGGGGGAAAATATTGTGAATCTGTTATTACTGTGACTAGGGGGAAAATATTGTGAATCTGTTATTACTGTGACTAGGGGGAAAATATTGTGAATCTGTTATTATTATAAGTAGGGGGAAAATATTGTAAAACTATTATTATTGTGACTAGGGGGAAAATATTGTAAAACTATTATTATTGTGACTAGGGGGGGGGGGGGGGAATATTGGGAATCTGTTATTATTGTGATAAGGGGGAAAATATTGTAACACTATCATTATTGTGACTAGGGGGAAAATATTGTGAATCTGTTGTTATTATTATGACTAGGGGGAAAATATTGTAAAACTATTAGTATTGTGTCTAGGGGGGAAATATTGAGAATCTGTTATTATTGTGACTAGGGGGAAAATATTGTGAATCTGTTATTATTATAAGTAGGGGAAAAATATTGTAAAACTATTATTATTGTGACTAGGGGGAAAATATTGTAAAAACTATTATTATTGTGACTAGGGGGGGGGGGGGAATATTGGGAATCTGTTATTATTGTGATAAGGGGGAAAATATTGTAACACTATCATTATTGTGACTAGGGGGAAAATATTGTGAATCTGTTGTTATTATTATGACTAGGGGGAAAATATTGTAAAACTATTAGTATTGTGTCTAGGGGGGAAATATTGAGAATCTGTTATTATTGTGACTAGGGGGAAAATATTGCGAATCTGTTATTATTATAAGTAGGGGAAAAATATTGTAAAACTATTATTATTGTGACTAGGGGGGAAAATATTGTAAAACTATTATTATTGTGACTAGGGGGAAAATATTGTAAAACTATTATTATTGTGACTAGGGAGAAAATATTGTAAAACTGTTATTACTGTGACTAGAGTACAAGATGTAGTGAAACTGATTTTTAATTGACAAGTAACAAAAAATGGTTATAGTAAAACTGTTATTATAGCGACAAAAAAAAAGAAATGAAACTTATTATAGTGAAAAAATACAAGTTAAAGTGAAACTGATGCTACAATGACAAGAAACAATGACAAAAAACAAGATTTAGTGAAACTGTTGTAACAAGGACATGAAACAAAATATAGTGAAATTGTTATGATAGCGACTAGGATCATGTACTGTTAGTCACAGTGGTCCATCAGGCACACAAACAAAAACATCAAACAAGATATAATAACAGTGTACTACACACAAACATAAACATAATAAAACATGTAATAACATTGTAATACACACAACCCAAAACATAATATAACATGTTATAACAGTGTACTACACACAAACTACCAACGAAATACAACTTTTTTATACAAATTTTAAAAAAAAGTATAAAATTCAGAGGCTTAAAAAGTTTATTTTTAGAAAACACGAACCAATATACGTTTAAATATTACATCTATTACATAACATCCAACATATAGATTAATTTAAATATTGTGTAAAAATATATTGGTTACAATATTATTTTAAAAATTAAATGTAGAATGTATGTGACTTTCAAAGATTCTTTAACCTATTCAGTAAAAGCTGAATTAACGGCCATTCCAAACACATTTTTTTTAATTATTCGAGTAATTTGAAATGATTGTCAACGGCTTATCATAAAACTAGATCTTTTAGCTTGTTTTTATTTAATAATGTCATAAGAATAAACAAAGTTACTTTCATATCTAAAGTTTTAAATGTACTCGTACACGTATTGGTACAATGTATACGCTATACATATTGTGTATCAATTAGAAAATAATGTTTATACATATAAAACACATTCATATTTGAATAAATGTGTATGTGTGTAGTGTATGCAATTGTTGAGTGTATGTGGATTTACATTAAAGTGCGTGTGAATATGTATGTATATGTACTTATGTGTAGTGTTTCGGGCATGTGTGTGCTTATACCAACAGAGTAATGAAAACAAATATACATACAATAAGCTCCAATGTGTGCACATATTACTTTTTAGTTTGAAATTGTGTACATTGGTAGATGTGGATTACATTTAAACATCTACCATAATCAACACCACATTTTTAAAGTGCAAAATACTAATACCGAATCAAAGTGTATAGTAGAGTAAAGTAGACTTAATTTTACACCCATAAAATTTGATCAAGATATAATGTTGATTTTTTCAGTGTTTGAATTGTACATGTTTATCCTCATTTTTCGTGCCCACGAGAAATAGGTAGATGAAATAGAGTTAATGTAGTTCAATGACCTCAGCATACAGGGAGATAATATGGTTGAAACTATGCCCAACCATATTCTTTTCATTAACGTGCTTTAGGTACCTATTGGAGATGGGTGGGAACTGGCTTGACCTACAGACTCGAGCCCGGGATCCGAACTCGATACTTTCAGACACGTTAACATAAGTGATATATATATATATATATATATATATATATATATATATATATATATATATATATATATATATATATATACATACATACATATATATATATATATATATATATATATATATATATATATATATATATATATATATGGTTCAAGACACAGTGGTTTTTCTGTTTTGAAACTTAACACGTTAAAATGATAAAAATATATAAATGGATACAATATTTAATTAGTTAAATATCAAACATCGATTACAACTAAAACAGTTGTGAAGTTTACATAAGTATAATTAGAGCATCTTAAATCTAAATAAAGCAATGTTTACATTTTTTGTATAATATAACAGCAATAGGGCTAATGTGAAGAATGAAAAAAAAAATGTAAGCGTGATTACAACTATATAGTTTGGTTAAAATACATTAACCTATAGGTTATGTAGGCTGATGACAGCAAGTAAATGTATACATCGATTTTAAGTATTATACTCGAAGCTAAATAATTTTGGAAAAGTTTTTTTTTTTAAACTGTGAAGAACAATAATTACGTAATTTAAAAATAAATAATTATGTTCATTTAAAATACATAAAAACAATTTAAAAAAGTATAACAATAGAACACAAGTTGTGTATCGTTATAAAATCTATAAGAAATATAATGACTTAAAAATCATTATGAAAATTACATTTAAATGTTTTAAAACACGAGAAGGCATTTTATAAAAAAAATATTAAATGTTAAGATCATTTGCTGTTATTTTTTAAACGACATTTTTAAATAAACGTGTAGCCCAAATTAATATTATGTGCAATTAAACTTACTTGTTAAGAATTTTACTTTAAAAAAATTGATTAAAACATCCCATCATGTTAGACACAGATGATTACCATGGTTAAAAATACATGAATAATAAAACACATTCTAAATTAATACAAAAACATATATTAGAAGGGATATATATATATATATATATATATATATATATATATATATATATATATATATATATATATATATATATATATATATATAAATTTTATGTCTTGATTGTGGTTTGACTAAGTTACTTGAATGTCTTGATTGTGATTTGACTGAGTAACTTCTGTCTTGGTTGTGTTTAGTCTGAGCTATTTTATGTCTTGATTGTGTTTTGTCTGGGTCACTGTTATGTCACGTCTATGTCTGGACCGAGTCGTGAATGTGTACCAGCTATGTCACCGAATGTAAAGTCTGTATCACCTCCTCAATCTTCTAGTCTAGTAATCTACCACATCTAGAGACCGCGCTCTCTATAACTAGAGCAAACCCTGTATAACTAGAGCAAACCCTGTATAACTAGAGCAAACCCTGTATAACTAGAGCAAACCCTGTATAACTAGAGCAAACCCTGTATAACTAGAGCAAACCCTGTATAACTAGAGCAAACCCTGCAGAGCAAACCCTGTATAACTAGAGCAAACCCTGTATAACTAGAGATAACCCTGTATAACTAGAGATAACCCTGTATAACTAGAGCAAACCCTGTATAACTAGAGCAAACCCTGTATAACTAGAGCGAACCCTGTATAACTAGAGCAAACCCTGTATAACTAGATCAAACCCTGTATAACTAGAGCAAACCCTGTATAACTAGAGCAAACCCTGTATAACTAGAGCAAACTCTGTATAACTAGAGCAAACCCTGCAGAGCAAACCCTGTATAACTAGAGCAAACCCTGTATAACTAGAGCAAACCCTGTATAACTAGAGCAAACCCTGTATAACTAGAGCGAACCCTGTATAACTAGAGCAAACCCTGTATAACTAGATCAAACCCTGTATAACTAGAGCAAACCCTGTATAACTAGAGCAAACCCTGTATAACTAGATCAAACCCTGTATAACTAGAGCAAACCCTGTATAACTAGAGCAAACCCTGTATAACTAGAGCAAACCCTGTATAACTAGAGCAAACCCTGCAGAGCAAACCCTGTATAATTAGAGCAAACCCTGTATATCTAGAACAAACCCTGTATAACTAGATCAAACCCTGTATAACTAGAGCTAACCCTGTATAACTAGAGCAAATCCTGACTGCAGTTATTTTTTTTATTTCCGACACCAATTCTTCACAGACTGAAACAGACCGTACAACTTCGGTAAAGAATACACGATTGGGTTGAAAGCCGAGTTCAAAGGTAAAACAAAGACAGCCGTCCACGTGTAGACGTCACTGTCCAGCTTAACGCCGGCCAGTGCCAGAGTCCCCATCACCTGCACTGGAACCCAGGCCAGGAAGTTGGTCACGGCAACAAGGGACAGTTGCCTAGCAACGAGAATCTCCTGGGTGCGTCTGGAGTTATTAACGGTTTCGAAAGTAGAGGCAGTTCTGCTGGCAGAGAGAGAGCGGAAGATGAAAATCTGCCCGACTATGATGGACACAAAGAGGAGTAAATTTAACCCTAAAAACAGAGCAACAGAGTAATAGCGTCCGCCGCTTACAGCAGTGTCTAAAGGAAATGCCAAACACATGGAATTGGATGTGAATACTCCCCACTCAGGGTACAGTACTGGCACCAAAGCTAAAGTGAACCCAAGAAGCCAGGAGAGGATGATGGATGCACGTTTTATTCTCGTGGTGAACCGGTACTTGCCAGTTTGGAACCTGAGTGTCAGAAATCTGTCCAGTGTTATCAGACAGATAAAGAACGTCGTGACCTCGCTAGAGAGGGTTGACAGAAACCCGGCCACTTGGCAGACAACCCCATATTGCCATTCTTCTTCACGGACAAAATAATTGTCCCGATACACCTCATCAGCCACGCCAATAATGATGAGATAAAAGCCCATGATCATGTCTGAGATACAGAGGTTGGACACAAACTGTCCGTACACTGTACGCAAAACTTTTCTGTCCCATATCATCCTGTATACTAGAGCCAGCGAATTCCCCAGCAAGGCCAAAACACCTATCGTCCACAGAAGTGACCTCTTGCCAACGTCTTTGATTAGGTCTAGACACGAGGAGATTGTGTTGTAATCGTAAGAACATTTTTCAGGGGGAGTATTTTCACCCAGCGCCTGCGGGCAGCACAATCTATGATTTGAAGTTTTTATAAACACGGTAATTTCCAGGTTATTAAAATAATTGTTTTTTATATCTTTCATATGTGTTGCTGTGATATCAAATTCACTGAGAACAAAATTTATAGGAATAAAATTTGGGTTAGTTATTTTAGTTCCAATCAAGTACAAAAATCTCAGGTTCCGCATGTTATTAAAATTTTGACTAATAAGACTTGAAATGCTGGTGTGAGATAAATCTAATCTCTCCAGAGATGGGAGAGACAAGTTAAAGGTAGTTAAAAGATCATTGTAGGACAGGTCTAGTGTTTTAAGTCTTTTCATCCTAGCGAAATTCCCAGTCGATGTGATTTGTCTAAGGTTACTATAACTGAAGTCAGCAAACAAGATTGTATTGTTTTCTGTAATGGTTAGGAATGTAAAGTCATCTAAATACAAATTAGCACACTGTAATTCAATTAGTTTTGAAAATGTATTAGTATGAAATGTTACTACTTTTACAGAACGAAAATCATCAACAAGTAATAAGCGAATCGAATCATCGATAAAAAGACTACCTAATATGAAACTCGTATAATATAAACCAGGCACAGTCGCTGTCCCCGCAACACATATTACTCCACTAGGACATTCAACGTTACAATTCATTTCATCATCACCTCTAGGGCAATCTTTGAATCCATCACAAACGTTCTCTAGGAAAACATACTGTGACGTATTGAAACACTTAAACAGATTGTTTTCATCTTCTCCCTGTGGACAATCCTGTGTACCGTCATTGACGTAAGTCTCTGGGATACAATAAGACAGTGGACATTTAGAGAAGCAAGATGGACATTTGTATCTAGTACAGTTCTGTAGGTGGGTCATATTGTGGCAACCTATGACACCTTCTGAAGATTTAATATACAAACATTTAGGTGCCACGCCGCATACGTTAGTTTGGTTAGATCCTATTTTTTCAAAGTGGACAGAATCTTTACCGCATGTGACTGTATCGAACCAACATTTAGCAGGCTCAGTGTTTGTGACTTCGTTCCATCTGAGATCGACATTTGGTGTACACATATCGGATACAAGCTGTGAAAAATTATCACAGCGAAACTTAGTTTCTTCATTCCTGCCATAACTAGTGTTACAGTTAGTAGTTTCTTGCAATCTGCTTTCAGAGGATGTATATATTTTTTCACTTTCTTTGCCTACCATGTCAGTCTGTGTTGAACAAATTAATTCGTCTCTACCGTTTGGACAATCACATATGTCGTCACAGACAGAAGAATAAGCAATACGTTTTGAAGAACTGTCTTGACAATTGAATCGCGGGGAGTAATGAAGATTGTTAAACTCATCGTTGCCACTATTAGCTGCGACAGAGACAATAGCATTATTGTATTCTACAAACTCTGATGAAGACATTAGAAAGAATTTGTGATATTTTATAAATTTTTCTGTCTCACAGATCACAAGATATCGATCAGTAACGTTACAATCAACTTGACGCCAGACTCCACTGTATCCAGTTTCATCACGTGATAAAACCCACGTGACACAATCTCCATATTCTTCAAGGCTTGGTGGCCATGGCGGAGATATGACCAGTGGTCGACCTTGACCCCACCTAAAATGTCCCCCATGTCGATTTAGGTTCAAGGCCAGACATACGCTGTTGTTTTGTCGTCTACACCAAGGCTCTGGACCTGAGACATTCAAATTTTTCTTCAGAAGGTCTTGTACAAACTCAAACTCTGCTTCTGTTTCTATGGAAACCATTTTCGCTCCCATACTTTCACATCGTTGGCCAGCGTCTTTTATGTCGACCTGTATGTAATTCTCAGGCACAACAAAATAGCAGGATAAAATTCTGTTGGTCCCAGGTTCTCGGAATGGAATCCAGCCTTGTCTGCAGTCTGTACATACCAGTGTATGTGGTGGTAGTATAGGCGCGGTAGTGTCTATGACAGTTATACCTTTGTAATAGTTATATCTTAAAAAATATGTTTTATAAGATAAAATAAATGTATGTTTAGATCTCAGTAAAATTATAGGTCTATTCCGAAAAAAATCCAGTAAAGGTTCTATTAAAATGGATATTGTTTCCTCCAATCGATTTTCGTAGTAAACGTTGTCAGATAGAAAGTCTTTGAATGTAAGGTCCATGCCCGAAAACATCTGTTCGCAGTTTACCTGGCCAATAATTTCAAACTCATTCATCCAAAAACAATTAATGGTTACCTTCGCAATATCTGTAACAATATCCGACTCATTTTTTCTGATAAAATTGTTAAGAAAATCCTGTAGAAACTGTTTGTATATAACACTAGCTCCAATATTTAGAGGCTCAATTGCTGCTATCAATATGCGGTGCTCCTCTGTGACGCAGTTCGTTAAAAACAGACCTTTACAGAAGAAAAAAAACTTGTGCAATCAGCATAGTAATTTTTTGTTGCATTTCAGATGGTAATAAAAATAAAATACTTAAAAAAATCTTTTTAAAAAACCACGTTTTTCTTGTGGACTAAAAAGTAGAAAATAAATTTTTCTTCCGACCCTAGGGGATCTACCAATGACTGCTCGTAGATTTTGTGCTTCTTCGAGCTGTGCAGGTTCTTGTGATGACTGTTCATACATGTGATGACAAAAAACGTGGGTACGTTCACCATCAAATTTCCAAAATTCGTGTGTTGTGTGCTTTTCGCTTTAATCATAAATCTGCCCGACCCACGTTTTTTGTCATCAAATGTATGAAAAATTTATTTTCTACTTTTTAGTCCACAAGAAAAACGTGGGTTTTTTTAAAAAAATTTTAAGTATTTTATTTTCTCCTTTTTAGTCCGTTGCTACACATGAAAAACGTGGTTTTTAAAAAGTTTTTTATATAGTTTATTTTCTACTTTATCTAATGACTTGATTAAGTATGACTTGACTAAGTGTTTTTAAGTACACGGACTAAAAATCTTGAGCGACCGATACGCTTTAAACAGAGAAGGGGCGTAATTTAATTAAGCTAATTTAGGTTTCTAATTGCTAGTTTTTTATGATTGCATCTGAAATTGTTAGGCGATGACATACCCACGTTTTTTGTCATCAAATGCCGTGACCAGGATTCGAACCTGGGTTGTCGCGGCCACAACGCGAAGTACTAACCACTATACGATCACGGCCAGCGCGCTCACATCGATTGGGGCCGAAGTAACTGTGTCAATAGGCCTCCAGTCTTCTCGGTATCTTTAGAAATCATGTCCTCAATTTTAGAGTCCTTGGGGCGTAATTTAATTAAGCTAATTTAGGTCTCTAATTGCTAGTTTTTATGATTGCATCTGAAATTGTTAGGCGAAAATAGCCTGCATGCCGAATTTCAGATGTCTAGAGCAATCAGAAGTGGGCTAATTTTCGTTGTCAATATTAACAACAAACCCACAAACAAACAAACGCGAAGCTGAGTTAATAAAAACGTGTTAAAAAGTATTAATAAGTTGGTGAGAAAGTACATTTTTTTTTCTGTGGGAATGAATACATTTAAAAGAATACTCATCCCATTTTCGTAAATATTCAACATACTTTTAATACATTTTCCTGAACTGTATAGATATAGATTTCCACCTACCCCTGGGAAACGCCGCTTAGGCCGTTTAAAAAGTATACATAATCATGAGGAAAAAGGGCCATTGTTTTATTTGGTATCATTAATCATCAAATCCTATACAATCATGTAGAAAGGCAATCATCTTGTATCCTATTACGTTCTACAAACTATCCTTTAGTAAGATTCCACTGTTGTCTAAGTCAATTCCCAAAGATAAAGTTCATGGAAACAATATGTAATGAAAACATGAACAACTATTTTATCTAAATTGAGTACCATTCAATCAAATGTAGCAATGAAAACACACGGGTTTATATTAGCGTATGTTTGTAGTTTGATACAGACAGGCGAACTTAGTAAATTATGAGTTGCACGCGGAGTTTCTTCGGGGGGAGGGTGGGCGATCGGATGAATAATGCAGTAATCCATAAAAGACAGAAACATGTTTTTCACACACAACTGTATGTCATCATCTCGCGCGTCGGAAAACCTGATTTAGGGGGTCATCCTTAAAACGCCAAACCACATATCCCCAATGACGTCATTTATTAATAGTAGTTGACTATATAATATTCAATTAATTCATTTACTAAGAATCTACTAAGCGGAGGATGTAAACTCGAAAAGGAACTTGAAAGGGACAACACAGCGCCTTTGTACAGTGTACTTCAACATCTACAGTGCTGCATTTGGGAATGACGTTACTACTGTCTTCATAGCCCATTATAAAATTTACTTAAGGGAAACCATTCAAAGTATGCAACTATAGCATTTCTTGTAAAAGCAAAAACAAGTAAACGTACATGAAACCAAAACTTCTGATGATAATATTTTTGATAATGTGTAGGATACAGGATGGTGCATGATATTTGTTCTACCAATATAACAAATTTACATTTTACATTGAGAAACGTTCTATGGATTTTGGGTCCCTTCTTTATAGCTAGCGGCCTCTCGAGCAAACAATTGTTTCGGCTACACAGTGTGTTTGATTAATATCGGCTTTCAGGATGTTTTAAAAACAGAGAAAAAATATACAATTATAGTTATAACAACTTTTAAAAAATAAATAAATTTGGCGACAACTTTTGGGTTTGCTATGACAAGAGTAACATTTAAAATACAAAAGGGGTCATCCATAAATGACGTCACGCTTTTTTGACGATTTTTACCTTCCCCCCCCCCCCACTCCCCTCCGTCACACGTCGTCACAAAAAGCCAGACCCCCCCCCCCCTAAAATGACGTCACACCTCAACCTACAACCCCCCTCAAAATTGCAGTTGATTTTTTTTAAAACATCGATATTTTTTTAAAATCTTGTCTAAACTAATGTAATTTTTAAAACAGTTATCTAAAACGAGAAATAACGTCTAAAATTCGTTTTCTAACATTTCTTTTTTATAATGCAAAAATGTGACGTCGCAACATCTGAACCCCCCCCCCTCCCCCTCATCACACATCGTCACAAAATTACGGACCCCCCTCCCCCCCTACGAGTGTGACGTCATTTATGGATGACCCCAAAGCCACAAAGCCTAGACATCGTATGGGTTAAAAAAATATTGACTTTATTTGCCGTCAGTTATAGAAAGCAAACCAAAATTTTAATCTGCTACACAGCAAACAACAATATCATTCTCCAGAATTTAGCAAACACCTAATAAATAAATAATATAAATAATATATCTAACGATATATATATTACGAAAACTCGAGGAAGTTGTATATTTTTTTTTTATTTGTGTGTGTGTGTGTGTGTGTGTGTGTGTCAGTTCTTTTTGATGACAGCATCATCAATATGTGAGAACTGTAAAGTGCATATTTATTTAGAGAACAATGTTCTTTTTTCCCCAAAATGTTTTACATTTTTTTAAAAACTTTAATTGATTTACTGATATATTCATGTCATGTAGAAACACGCTTTTAATTATACTAGCTGATAACAAATACTGTAATTACTTTTTCAGAACAAACATCGCTTCAGTATTGCCCATTGAAAAGTCTGATGAATATTTCAGATTATTTCGGTTTTAACGATATTTCTTTTTTGTATTAGGTTCCTACACTATTATCATTTCTTTTATGAAGATACGCTTCACAGGTATTCAAATCGAGAATACAATGAATGTATCTAGATCTGCCTTCAAAGTAGATTGAAACCATTTTTAGTTCTGTCGAAGAACGAGTAAAACTAAAATCTTTGGCAATCCAAAATCAACTAGGGTCTAGTAAAAAAAAACAATTTAAATTATATAATTGAGTTTCTTTCACACCTTATATATTGTATATAAATCTTTGTATATAATTTAATTTTTAAAAATATTTGGCGTAATTTTAATTTCTGGCGAAGAGTGGCCTCAGAGAGTGTAGAAAAAAACCAAAATATTTTCACAAGAAGTTATTTGCCTAGCTCTACGAGATGACAGCGTGTTACTGACCCAGTAAGTGGTATGGGTTCGAATCAGATCATGGCATTGGCTAATTCTTTTGTTTAAATTTTCCCACATAAAAAGTGCACATTGGGAAATCACAACGAACGGGAATGGTTCTAATTCATTATTATTATTAATTTGACTTAAGCTTTAATATGGGATTAATTTGTTTGTTATTCTTGCGAGGCTAGAGCTCAAAAAAATATTATAAAAATAAATCGATGTTTTTAAAAGACAAAGCTGAGGTGTGACTTTTTTAAAGATGTGAATGAAAAGTTTGTTTTCTGAACTTGGCAGGCCATGGATCGCGTGAAGTAGAGTTCATCTGTTTACGTGACCTCATCATATGAAGGGGTAGTGTGTTCAGCGCTATGCTCAGCCGAATACTGTGTCTTTAAACGACAAAATCATGTCGCCTGTTTTGTGACGTCTTTTTAGAAGTATGGGTCTGGCATTTTGTGACGATGTGGGACAATGGGGAAAGGGGAAGATAAAAATCGTCTAACATCCGTTACGTCATTTATGAATTACCCACTAATTCCGTAGCTATCCAAAGAAAAAATATGTGGTCTAGTTATACATACACACATAATGCACATGCATATGCTCACATAAAATAAGACCTACAAATAATCTGAATGTTTACCTACCTCTGCTGGTCTGTATGGATAGAACAATGCACAGGAAAAGAAATGTTAAAGACATTGCTGAAAACTTCATATCTGCCCTCAAAGAAAATCTTCAGATTTCAACCGTAGAAAACTTCATATTTGCCCTCAAAGAAAATCTTCAGATTTCAACCGTAGAAAAGTTAATATCTGCAGATAAACTTGATCACCAGATTTCTGCTAGAAAAGTTCATATCCGCCAGCAAACACGATCCTCGGAATCCAATCATGTTATTACCACAGACAGACCAAACATAGGTTTTATAGCAACACCAAATTATAATTTGACTCGTTGTTTGTTTGGATATTTTTGTCATATTATCCAACCCACCCAAATGACATATCAAAGTATTGTTGTGCCTCGTCAATTGTTTAGTAGAAACGCAGTAATAATTTAGTGTTGGAGTGGGCGTTTACCTCAGCTCTGTAATATGTCACCCTGAATGATTGAATGTTTTGGAATAGAACGAAGTCAAGTTCAGTCAGCAGGAGAAGGGTTTTGGGTGTAGAGGGTTTGGGTGGGGGAGGGGGTGGCGATAGTAGGGAACAAAAAATAAAAAGGTACTAAATGCTCATGAGATTTCTTGTATTTTATTTTTAAATGTCAATAATAAATTCCATCTCTAGTCGATATCTGCCTCCCATTTAGTGCAAAACCCTAAACCTCGCCCTCAATTTAATTTATGATTAACATCAGTCGTGTAGTACATATGGACAGTGGCGTAGCGAGGTCGGGTGTCACCCGGTGCGGCACTTAATGGTGTCAACCCCCCCCCCCCCCATAGGCGTAGCGACCCTTCCCGGGGACTAACTTTCAATTTCGATTTGCACCACCCCCCCCCCCTCAAACTTTCGATTTGCACCTCTTAAAAGACTATTTAACACTCGTATTAATCACTTGATTAAGTGGAATTATCATTTTTCTCTATATATTTTGCTATTTTTTGCCTTGGTGTCACCCCCCTAAATTAAGCTAATGAAACACATTTTGGATTCTTTTTGTAATGCAATGAGAAGCTTTAAGGTGTAAAGTTTAAATGCATGTTTTATTTCTTACTTTTAATTACGCAGGAATCATCGTAAAATAGTAAAATCGGCATGGTCGTATGGTAGATCATTTTGCTGCTAACCCGGAAGTCTAGAGTTCGGATCTCGGCTCCCCCGCCCCCCCCCCCCCTCTCGCTACGCCTCTGCATATGGATAATCTGTATTCATTTGCGTTGTTATACGTTAATTTTCTATGTACTTTCACAAGCTTAAGATTATTGGTATCCACGTATAACTATGTTTAATTTAGGAATTTCGAAGCTTTTAAAACGTTTAAAAAATATTTTCAATACTCTAGAAAGACCAACCATTTACGCATTAAGCTAATGAAACACATTTTGGATTCTTTTTGTAATGCAATGAGAAGCTTTAAGGTGTAAAGTTTAAATGCATGTTTTATTTCTTACTTTTAATTACGCAGGAATCATCGTAAAAAAGTAGAATCGGCATGGTCGTATGGTAGATCATTTTGCTGCTAACCTGGGAGTCTCGAGTTCGGATCTCGGCTCGGGCTTGTTATTGTAGGACATTCCTTAGCTCTGATGTGTACCTGACTTAGGTAGGAGAAAGCGAAGTCGACTGCGCATAGTGTTGAGCACACCATCTCTTCATATGACGAGGCCAAGAAACATATGAACTCTATCTGCCTAAGAGATACTAAGTATTATTTCAGCTTTAAAAACATTTAAACTGTTTTATTTTTTGTACCCGTACTGATCCCAATAGTTCACTCCCTCGCCGTGATTTTCAGTGAGTTGAGTGAATTATTAATTGCAGGGAAATGCTAATTTGATGTGATGTTATATCCGAACTCATCTAGACCGACTCAATGAATAGGCCAACTAGATCCATTACAAATTGTTAGTCGTCCCACCCTATGCGCACCAGCGAGCAAGAGTAGGACAATACACCCCCGCCCATGTCAATTTGTCATTACAGTAATTAGCCCCACCCCACCCGGCCGATTTATATTTAAAATGCTACAAATCATAACTTTCAACCAAAAATTACTGCTATTTTGTTTTCAATCTATTTGTATTGTTTTGTAACCTAATGATTACACACGAACACTAGACTACGCCTCCATATTATCTAATAAATATATTTTACAAATGGTGAAAGGTGGAGGAGGGGAAGGAGTGGGGAGGTGGGAATTGGATGGGAACCCAACCACCCCACCGTTTTGCCGATACACACACACACACATACACGTAAACACACTATCTCAACGTCAAAAATTGGACGCGGACCTACTGTTTTGTGTTTAATACGTGAATAGGGTAGGTATGGAAGGGAGTGGGGTGGGAGGATGACTAAAAAAATAACCAAACTCTCGTCACGTAAAGCTGGCCACGCGACCATCGGCCTGGTTCCCACTTGCCTGGTCTACTCTACTGCTCATCAGTACCCGGCTAAAACGGATTGGACGTTTGGGGAATTTTTTTCTCGGTGACCAGGGGGGTGGTTGGGTGGTTGGTTGGGTGGTTGGGTGGGTGGTCGGTTGTGTGGTTGGGTTTTTATGTTAGTGCATTAAATGATCGCACTATTATCCTATCCATGGTTGATAGTCGGCTTTGATTTCATTGTATCACACCCTATGCTACAGATGTTTGATAGTCAACATTTAAGTAATTGTATCACACCCTATGCTACAGATGTTTGATAGTCAACATTTAAGTAATTGTATCACACCCTATGCTACAGATGTTTGATAGTCAACATTTAAGTAATTGTATCACACCCTATGCTACAGATGTTTGATAGTCAACATTTAAGTAATTGTATCACACCCTATGCTACAGATGTTTGATAGTCAACATTTAAGTAATTGTAACACACTTCTAACCTACAGAAGAGATGGTTGACAGTGTTTCTTCCAGACTTATTTTCTCCAGGGGGGGGGGGTCACTTAAAAATTTTTGTGGGGGGGGGGGGGAGGGTGGCGGTAGACTTTCTTTGGGGGGCGGACACTGTTAAAAGTATATATTTTTATATAAATTTCATTTCGTTCAGGGGGACGGTAGACTTTGCCCCGAAGAGATGCCTGGAAGAAAGTCTAAATTGGTTGATAGTCGGCTTTGCTTTAAATTGTATTGTCCTGTTATACTAAAGAGGCGTGGCAACCATTTCAGGCACCGGGTGCGAACCAGTGGCGTTGCTAGGTTGGGTGTCACCCGGTGCGGCAACCTCATGGTGTCACTCCCCCCCCCCCTACTTGTTTTTTATTTTTGTAAATTTTGCAGCTGGTATCACACCCCCCCCCCCCGGTAAAATTTAATACTAATGATATTTATCTATGGTCGATTGTTAGTACAGCTGGGTGTAGCATTGTTTTCTCTATAGTTTGCATGTTTACGTCATGGTGTGTCCCATCCCCCACCCCCCACCCCCATGTCGCGATGGTCATTATGTACTTAATATATTTTTTAACTCTAATTAACCATTCATATATATATATACATACATATATATATATATATATATATATATATATATATATATATATATATATATATATATATATATATATATATATATATATATATTTCAAGATTATATTGTCTTTATTATGTATGATTTATATAAGATTTTACTGACATTTTACACTAATGCGACACTTTGTACACATTTGTACAGGTCATAATTCGAATAATACTTGTCCGATGGAAATAAAACATAGAATACCATGTCGGGACACCCACATCATTTTCATTACATGGTAATATGATATCGACAAAAATAATACGGTCGTGTCTGAAAGGAATATTCACTATTTGGCAAAAAAGCTCCCCACACTCCTACCATTTGGAAAGTTCGGGGACGGTTTGTACAATGCAATATCTTCCCCTTACCTGTTTTTCTTGCTTATCAATTTATGTAGAAAACGGTTAAACAAGTCTATAAAGCCTGATAATATAGATTTTATTATTTGCGACTGTGTATAATTCAATAATGTAGCTCATAATACGTGTTTTATTTCTAACCCGTTTGCCGCTTCCTTAAAGTGTACACCCGCGGTGGCCGTCTTTACTTAGAGATGTTCTATCAACAGAGTGGACACGTCACTTAACTCTAATGTAAGATGTTTTATCACCAGAGTGGCTTACACAACATTGTTGTAGAGATGTTTTATCACCAGAGTGGCTTACACAACATTGTTGTAGAGATGTTTTATCACCAGAGTGGCTTACACAACATTGTTGTAGAGATGTTTTATAATCAGAGTGGCTTACACAACATTGTTGTAGAGATGTTTTATCACCAGAGTGGCTTACACAACATTGTTGTAGAGATGTTTTATAATCAGAGTGGCTTACACAACATTGTTGTAGAGATGTTTTATAATCAGAGTGGCTTACACAACCCTGTTGTAGAGATATTTTATCATCAGAATGGGTCACACAACCCTGATGTAGAGATGTTTTATCATCAGAGTGGGTCACACAACCCTGATGTAGAGATGTTTTATCATCAGAGTGGGTCACACAACCCTGATGTAGAGATGTTTTATCATCAGAGTTGATAGGACACACAACCCTGATGTAGAGATGTTTTATCATCAGAATGGGTCACTCTACCCTGATATAGAGATGTTTTATCAGCAGAGTGGCTTACACAACCCTGTTGTAGAGATATTTTATCATCAGAATGGGTCACACAACCCTGATGTAGAGATGTTTTATCATCAGAGTTGATAGGACACACAACCCTGATGTAGAGATGTTTTATCATCAGAATGGGTCACTCAATCCTGATGTAGAGATGTTTTATCATCGGAATGGGTCACACAACCCTGATGTAGAGATGTTTTATCATCAGAATGGGTCACACAACCCTGATGTAGAGATGTTTTATCATCAGAATGGGTCACACAACCCTGATGTAGAGATGTTTTATCATCAGAATGGGTCACACAACCCTGATGTAGAGATGTTTTATCATCAGAATGGGTCACACAACCCTGATGTAGAGATGTTTTATCATCAGAATGGGTCACACAACCCTGTTGTAGAGATGTTTTATCATCAGAATGGGTCACACAACCCTGTTGTAGAGATGTTTTATCATCAGAATGGGTCACACAACCCTGTTGTAGAGATGTTTTATCATCAGAATGGGTCACACAACCCTGTTGTAGAGATGTTGTATCATCATAGTGTTCACCGCACACAACCCTGTCCCACCTATGTTGTAGACCGGAGTTATGCCTCTAATTAGTGCGCGGCTGACTGTCATTAGTGTCGGGCTCGGCTTTATTGATCAGCGTCGCTCAACGCTAGTGAGAATCTCACCAGATTGCATATGGTTCCTCCCCACTGCTCCCGCGGAAGAGATATAATAAAACTTTGTAAGTTTCTGTTAAATATAAAGAAGCTACCTAGCGATTTACTGCAGTTACTTGTGGTTGTAATAAGTTAGCACAACACGAAATTACTATTTAAAAAAACATAAATATGTAAGAGTAATAGCTAAGCTAATGTTATCCGCTCCAACAGATAAGTATAACTAGACCACTAGGAGTATTTTCACCTTTTCCACTGTGTGTGTGTGGGGGGGGGGGGGGGGGGTGGGGGGGGGGGGCACGTGAAATTAAGAAACACTACTTTAAAAAAAAAGATGATTCCTTTTGGATTAACATTACATTCAACCAGATTTTAAATATAAAATATATAAATACTTGAACTCATCATAGGATATTTTTATATTGTTTATTATATAATAAATGAAAGAATAATTGGAAATACAGCAAACAACAGTGGTATTAAAAGGCACCTTGTGACAAGAACGATTCAATTCTAAACAAATGCCGTTGGTTTAGTTTTAATCTATAAAACGTTGGGTTTTTAAACTATGATGATGTTGTAGCTGACGAGGCAGCTCATGCTAACTCTTCAGTCACGTAAGCAGAAATGTATCAGATCTTTTGGACAGTGTATGGTTATTGATATAGTTACTTATTTACCAGATAAAGAACTGATTTATTGCTATCGGCCCTATTTATGTAACTAGAAATATCTGTTTTTTTAAAGCTTTAAATTACTGCAACAAATTAGCATTATTTAATGAAAATATTCATCCAGAAAATAACTCTCAATTAGGGAAATCTGAAAAATGTAGCCTAAATGAATTATTACAAATAAAAGAAGTTAATTAAAATTTTCCGAAAATATTAATTTATCATTAGTTAAATGAGTGTTAGCTAAGAAATGTGTTTGCTACATCACTGGCTTAGTTTTTCAGTGTTAATTATGGGACGAGACTAAGAAAGCTATGGAGTAGTAAGTGCAGGGTGCAAGAAAGAGTTGAGTGCTGAGGACAATCCAAACAAACTAGTCTACCATGACCTGGTAGTGCTGGTTACAAGGTTATTTCAAACACAAGATGGTACAATCTGAATAAATAAATAAATAAAAACTATAATCTAGCTATTGAGAGAAATATATAAGTGCTGTTTTATTTTGAGACTAAATAAAACAAGCTCGATTGAAAACTATAATCAAGTATATTATATTAATAACAGCATACACAATTAGTGCTACAGTTCAACATAATTCTATGGCTACTATATAAACTAATCAGTAAACACATGATTAAAGATTGGATATTGCATATTTAAAAAATTCAATATCTTAAAATTCATTGAAAAAAATCTGTTCTAGTTAAGAGAATGGTATTTGAATATTAAATTAACTTGGGTATTGATATTTTATCATTACATAAAATTAATTTAAGGTGTTGCAACTATAACATACTAGAATATATTCAAATACAAATTCTATAGAAAATATAGCAGGACACAACTATTAGGTGTATTTACTTAAAGCACATTTAGAATTTCTTTTTTTTTTAAATTAATTGAATAGTTTAAAATATGTGTTCCAACTATATAGTAAAAGGGTTGAAGTATTTTAAAATTATATACTTTTATAATGGAGGTAAAAATATGCTACAAATTCTTAGCCTTGAGTGAAAATGTAATAAATTTCAATATTACATAGATCATGATTACATAGATTGATTACATACAACTTACAGGTGATAACAAAATCAAAAGTTATCAATCAAAAACAAGACATTAATAGGAAAAAAAAGGGAATGGAATAACCTAGTTTAGCAAAACTAAAGAAATATAGGAATTTATAACAAACATTATTTAAAAAATAAAAAGAAATCACAGATGAGAACAAAATATGGAAATGCTATTACAAAAATAAATAGAAACAAAATGCTAATTACAAAATAGATGAGAATCACAGATAATGCAATTTTTTTTTACTAAACACAACTTTTTTTGTATTTCTATTTCTTAGACAAAATACATAATTAGTGATCAAAATTCAACCTCTCAATATAAAAATTAATCTCATTTGAAATTTGTATCTTAAAAAAAAATCCTATATCTACTTTTTAATGTGAGTATATTTGCCCTGATGATTTTATAATTAAAATACTGAGTGATTATCAATTATTAATGATAAATTTTTTATTCTAGCCATTTTGTTAGCAATGATTAAATAAGAGGATTCGATAAGCCTAAGTAAAAACACACCAGCAATAACTCTCTCTCTCTCTCTCTCACTCTCTCAAGTGAAGTGTTCACTTTCTTACATCAACATGTTAACAAACATTTCTATAGATGAAACAATATCTAACATCACATCCATAGCTGTTCATTCAAACCACATCTATGCCCATTACATTTCATTATCCCTATATGCATTTGTAACTGTCATAAGTTTAAATATGTACTATTATTTTCTAATTTCTGTTTATATATCTATCTAACTACAAGTACATAATCACAACTAATAAACCCTAACTAGTCACACATCATACACAATGAGCTTTGGTTATTTTATGGAAGGTATACATAAAAAAAACTTTTCTGAAACCCACTCATATATTTTCTAACCATTTGGCAAAACATTTAAATGTTTCTATTTAATCATTTTACATTACATTTTTAAATAAAGATTTTACATTTGGAAATTAATTGTCCATTAACATTGGTAATCTTTTTTAAATCATGCACCTAAAAACTTTAGAAAATAGTTTTGCATAACTGTTTTTTAATTCTTCAGGCAAGTATTGGACTGCCCAGATTCCATTTTCTCTTGAACTCCAACGGAACTAAATGAGACTTGCATCACCACAACACACACTTGTCCAGAGTGACCATCCTAGAGCCTGGTTTACACATGAAAGCTTCTGCAAACTCTTTGGAGTTTCTCAGTGTCCCAAACACCCTGCAGTTAAAAAATTAAACTGCTTTAAACTAAATTATAAATGGTGGGGAAAATTGCTTCATTTTTTTTAAGATGAATGCTTCAGCTTAAATTTCTGTTTCTATAACATTCTTTAACATTTATTTGCATATAATAAAAATAAAAATTATAAAACATGAGTGTTGCATTTTGCATACATTATAAAATTTAGCTGTTAATTTATAACTAAAAATACTTGGCGAAAACCATCAAAAACTATTGTGATGTAATGTGTAAATAAGGCTTTGAAAATTATTAGATCTGTATAATAATTTGTTTTTATTCTGATAAGAATGTATGTTTTAAGCTAAGTGTAAAATTAATTTAAAGCATTATATAACTGAGCTTCCAGAAAAATATGCCATTTGAAAATGAGCAACAGAAAACTGCACAAACAGAAAAAGCGTAAATACAAACTAATATTACTCATACAATTAAGTTTTGTTGTATTTTGTGGAAAAATGTTTTATTATACTACATTGTACATGTAGTCACTCTTTGTTAATGTCTATAATGCTCAATTTAAGAAAACAAAAATGCCTTTTCCCACTTTTTTGTGCGCAGTTTTTCGCTGCTCAATTTTCTGGTCACTATACAACTGAACTAGTTTTCATTTTTTTAAAAATAGTATGACAAGTGTTTCTTTTAGAAATCTAACAGTTACCTAAATTTAGAGGGAGAATGAATGTCAGTTTCCACAACTTCTTTCTTGACCTCATCCCTGTACTTGGCACACCACACCTAAAAATTAAAATGTCGTATAGTTATGTTGATTAACACTGTTATGAATTTAAAGTCAAAAGACGAAACATTTACCCTAAATTCAATTAGTCTCAAACTTGAAAATATCACATACTGGCGAAATCATCATACCATGTGGGTTCTGCCATGCACGCCAGACAAAACTAACATCATTTTCTCTCTATTTTTTTTTGGGATCATTCATATTGGTAGCATTTTTTTAAAGAATCTTCAATATAATTTTTTTTTCAAAAATATTTTGTGGTTATTTTTAAAATGTAGATAAGAGATATGAAAAATTGGGATCTGTTACAGTTATGTGTGGTACAGAATAAACACAAAAATTAAACTAACAGTCTGATTTTAATCTGAAACACAATGTGGCATTGGTAATTTCGAAACATAATCTCACCTGAGCAAAGCTGAGGAAGAAAATCTGGTTATGATTTAGGTCAAGGCCAGGTAATCTATTCTCCTCTGACCCTTGTCTTTTCACAAAATTTCTGTAAGCCTATTATAAAATACAATCTTAATGAAAATATGAAACAAATAATTAATCTGCTGTATTTTTTTTAAATACCTACTGAAATTTTAAATTTAAATAAATATATAAAACATTTTTTTTTAAATATTCTGTTATATGAAATAAGTATGTGAATATGGGCCAACTTGATTTATGCATTTTTATGCATTTTAAATCTTTTAAAATAAATATAGTTATACTATCTAATTTGATTATCTTATCATAACTAGGCAGATTCTATTGTACCCACTCTGTAGCTCTGCTTAAGCCCTCCATTATCAGCAATGTTTTCTCCAAGTGTTGTGATCCCATTTACCTGTAGATGTATGTTTAATTAGAACAGAGTTTGTATAACCATAGTCATTTAATTTGTATAAACATTAACTCTGTCTTATTTAATTAGTATAAATACTTTAACTTTGTCTGTTAAACTGACATATTTATTAAATTACAGAAAATAGATGATTAGATAAAAATGTTATATACAAAAGTTAAATCAAGAATATAATGCAATTCAACAAAATACTTGTAAAATTATTTTTTTAAAAACACACTTATCCAGCAATTTTAAAGAATATGATAGAATATGGAGAGTTTACTTAAATAATGTTACAAACTACAAGGAGATGGAGTTCAGACTGTTACAAAATGTGTGACTTTTTTTGTACTTTTATAAAGACAAACTAAAAAAAAATTTAACAGGAAGAAGAAATTGATGCTGCATTGGGCATATGCTGCAAAAGATGTATACAAATGTGGCATGTCAGGTGCTTGAGTGGAATATCCAAAGGAGGAGAGAAACTGAGGCAGCCTTCTACAAATAATAAATATCACAGGAATACTACTACTAGATATTATATCTAGTCCTAATACCTTGGGAGACGGCAAAATCACAGAAAAAAAAATCGGCCAACAAATTAACTTTTTTTGTCTAACAGATAACAGAAAATTTGATTAGTTAAAAAAAAAAGCCTTACACTGTGTCCGTCCCAACTGTAACATCCATACTGATCAACAAAGCACTGGGAACGAGATTTGAAGTTTGCCTTGTCTTCATCTGTCCACCAGTCCCTGTACACTCCATCCTTATCATAGTGGCTGCCTTTTTTTTATGTGAAGAGAAAGTAACTCACTTTATTATTCAACTGATGAGCTCCCTTTTCGATTGAAAAAGAAGTGATGATCAAAATCAACGAAATAAATGTATTACAAATTATAGTCCGTATTTAAACAGTGTTTTAGTAATATAGTTAAGAGTCTAATCTTTTGTAAAATAGTCTAAACACAAGAACGTTTGTTGATATATGGTTAGGAAAAAATAAATATAGGCCTAAAGACAATAAGTTTTAGGTAGTTGATCAACATGTTGTGGATTTTTTTTTATCGGCTATACCTATACAATAAACAGTGTCTCAGGATAAACTTTATCAGAAGAACAAGTGAATTCAACTGTGAGCCTAAAGCCTAGAATCATTACTTCAGGCACATAGCCTTAAAAACTGCAGTTCTTGTGAAATTTCCAAGTTTGGTGCAAGGTAAAAAAACATGCAGGAGAGTGAACAGAAAGCCATTCTATTCTAATCTATCACTGCAGAACCTCTGATAGACTTTAACGTGGTTTAAATTCAAATACTGGGAATTTTATTTACAATCGGAAGAAGCTGTGATAGAAACAAATATAAAGCTTAAAGAAGTAACCAGTTTTCTCAAAGCTAATCTTTTATAGATATTTACTGGTTCATTTTTATAAAGCATGACCATCAGGATACAAATAACTGTGGTAAAGAAGAATTTGAAACAGAAGTTTTCTCTTTTTCTTCACTTTTTTAACTTCCACTGAGCATAGGCTATTTATAACATCCTTCCATGCTTTTCTGTCCTTTGCCATTTCTATCAATTTTATTAAACTCGTTCCAATCTTTCATGTCTTTTTTTTATTTCTCTATACTATGTGTCTAGCAGTTTTTCCTTAAAATTTATGAATTGCATGATATGGCTTGTCTGGTAATACCTGTTGCTATCTGCTTAAAAATTTGGCCTTTTTTTCCAAATTTGTTGCACCATTGTGCATAGTACCATAGTGTTGTGTAAGGTATTGTATCAAACCACATTATATTTAGGATTTGCCATATACAGCTATTAATAAAAGATTGTAGTCTGTTCCAGTCCCCTTATGTTGGTTGTTAGCATTTAGCATTGTGCAATAAAACAGATTTTATGCTAAACAGATGAAATATTTCCTTTTAAATTGAGGTAAGAGAAAGAGAAAACTACAAATATCTAATTAGCTGATAGAAAGAGATTATAAATTTTGACAGGAGTTTAAGCTCATGCAAAGATTTTCCTCCGCCATTTTCTTTTTTGACACATGCAAAGTTTTGCAGATTTTTTCTCCAATATCCTTTTTTCTAACACATGCACAATTTTGCAGTATTTTCTCCGCCATTCTTGTTTTCTAACACATGCACAATTTTGCAGGTTTTCTTCACTATTCTTTCTATTTTCAGGCACTCCTGATTGATCTGGGCAGTATATGCCATGCATGATGCCTGTACACTTACCATTACCATAAAACCCTTTAGTTAACAACCTGCCATACATAGATCCCACTGTACCATATCCCTCAGAACTGCAAGGGAATTGTCAGTAGTTGTTATTGGTTAGAGCAGAAATAAAAATTGTGTAATGTCTGTGGACAAAACTCACCCATATTGTCAAAACCATGAGTTATTTCATGGCCGACTACAATTCCAATCGCACCATAATTCATCGAGCTAAAGAAAACAAAGCAATAAATAGTAAATACAGGAATTTCTTTTCAATTTTGTCAGGGAAGACACACTTTGTTTTTTGTTTCAATAGCAACACTTTACTTTCCCTTCTGAATTTTGTTCTCGATATTAGCATCAATGACAGTGAAATACAATTGGTAATACGATTTGCCTAAATATTAACTGTATTCTATCTTCTACTCAGCTGTAAAATATAAAAATTTAACTTTTAAAAATAGGCAACATCTTTGCTTTTGATGCAAATGTCAACTATTTTGAATCACTGCAAAAAATGCAATTTCAGTATGGTTATCTTTTTCTGGACTTTCAGGCTATAAAAAAAGAGATTATTATCTCTCCTTCAACCACCTTTCAACTCTAATGAACATAATGTTAAGTAAAATCTGTTGTTCTTTTTAAACAATCATAGTAACAAATCATCTTTTTGCTAATTCAATCATTTAAATGAATAATTTTAACAATAAAATTGGTAATTGTTGAAGATGGAACAATGCAGAAAATGATAACTTTTGTAACTTTTAACTTTCTCACTAACTACATTTAATTATTTTACTCTTTACAGTCAAAATCAAACAGTTTGTTTTTGTATATAAAGGCCTTTTTAAAATTTATAAATTATTGGAGAATTTTTTAATACAAAAATAGTGTAAGCTTGCACATTGTTGGGGGATTTTAATAAAGAATAACAACAGTAAAATTAATATCTTATCAAATGGTTCAAAAATAAATAATGAATATTAAAAGCATGTTTATTTGAGTTTCATGTGACTTAACGTTGGGTTGGGTTGAGAATATACATCATACCTTGAAAAATCCTGACTGTAGAGGGGAAGTTGCAGGAAAGCAGCAGGAAAGACTAAAAAATTATATTATATTTTAATTTCACAAGTATGAGTGTAAATGTTTGAAATAACATACTTAATATATATTTTAAAAAGTATAAACTGTAGTACATTTTAATTTTTCTTCGCATTGTTTAAGCATGAAAAAATGTTTAGCTTACTAATTTCATTATTTAAAGTATCGTAATTAGCATTGACTGTAATTGCTGGGACAGGCCACCTGAAAAAAAAATGTATTTTTAGTTACCAGCTTTTGACACTGAAACACATTCCATATAATATACTTGCATTATTTTAATCAATGATTGATAAAAAACTTTTTTGACAAATTATATAAAGTTGACTTTTATCAAAATCTCTTCAAATGCTACAATTAAGAATGAAGAAGAAGACTTTTTTTTTTACCAAAGCTTCATTTATCATTTTTTTGGAAATTGTGTTGTAGTCCATGCCAACAAATAATTCAGAAATACTAGGCCATTGCTATAAACATTTCTTATTATAAAAAAGGGCATGGAAATTAAATTAAAAAATCAGTTTCAACAATTCAGTAACACAAACCATGTTAAAGACTTATAATTGGAAGACATGATTACTATGACAGTGATTTTTGTGTATAGTAAAAAAAATGTTTTTAATAGAATATAAAATATTTTTCTTACTTGCTCTTATCCTTTGGTTCCCTCAGTTTCTTAATATTATTTTCAGCTGCGTTATTAAGGTAGGCTGTATTGGTTTCAAAATATTCTGTTTCTTTTGAGAAAATCTTGACAGATAAACAAATTCAGATTTAAATAATGAAGTAGCAACACATAATAAATCACATGTTATATGTACTAATTATTTATTAGAATGTTTTTGTTTAGTTAACAATTGAGTTTTAGAAGTTTATTATTGCTTTATAGAATTTAATCAATGGAATGTAAGCAAAAAAAAAAAATACTTGCATTTGAATACAGAGTGTTAAGTTGAACATCATCAAGAATATAATCTGGATATCCAATTTTAGAACCAATTGCATTGAGCTGCAATGTACAAAAACTTGGAGGTAAAAAGCAGGATATTTTTAAAAGAATAGGAAAAGCACCAGAACAAGTAGTTTCAAGGTAGCTAGTGTTATGAATTGGTACATTAGACCAAAGTTAAATTATCTGAGTTGGATAATTGTAAATTGGAAACTATTTATAAATGGCAGATTGTCTTTGTACACAAACAGATTCCATGTTACTCAAAAAGAATATATAAAATATTTGTAAATTTTAATCATTAAATTAAATCTGATGTAACATATTTTATGCTTTATTCTTAGGCAATCTACTACTAGGTAATGTTGTAAACTTAAATTTGTTTTATTATTATTCAAATACTTTTTTAAAAAATGAAGATTGACAATGCTTTAATTGATCGCTCTTAATTTCAATAGCATTGCTTAGATATAAAAGCTAATGTAAAGCATAATTTTAGAATAATTTTAGAAGTTTACTAATAATATGCACAACCTTATCCTCTGCTTTTTTCTTGGTCTCTTTAGTCATCCAAGTATTCTCATGCAGTAATTCTTTAAAAGCTTCAGTCAAATCACTTATCATTGTGCTTAGCTGTTAAAAAAATGGAGTTAACAATGAGTTAAAGATAACACAATTTCAATGTTGATGTGAAAATCATATTGGAAATATACTGTATAATTAGAAAAACTATTATGGTGTGTATTCCACTGATAATTTAAAAAAAACTAATAAATAGGATAATCTTTTAAAATTATTTTTAATTGCCCATCTCTTAATTAGGCCTGCATTAGTTGTAGGAAATAAAGATTTTTTTCTTCTCTAGAGAACATAACTTCACATAAGTAGAAAACTATATGTATTCAAAGGATGAAATATACATTTACAACCATATGTAGATCTATATATTTTTTAAATGGCTGTTTACTAGCTCAATTTTTATGAAATTACTGATTTTAACAAAATTATTTGTTCTAACAGTAACAAATCAATGATTTACATTCAATTTGGCTGCTTTAACCAAAAACATTCTGGAAGTTACAGTTCTACAAAAAAATTTAAAAGATTGAATGTTTAGAAAAACATTAATACTCACATATTCTTTAGCTTCTTTGCTGAAAAAGTTGTCTATGTACATTCGACTAATTGCATCAGGGAACAAGGCAGTTGCTTCCTCTACACACTTCTCCCATCTAGGCCTTGGCTGGGTCTTTAGTGTTGCCTAGAAAGGGAGGTAATTTATTAAACAAATAAGAATTTGTTGGAAATTTGAAAACTAAATTGTATGAAATCTAAATTAAAGCTCAGGGGTTCAAAATTTGAAGTAAAAGATTAACTATTATATGATTGGCAGTATATAAGAGTTTATATTCCCTAAATCAATATAGAAACAATAATATACAAAAAATGAAATCATGACTAATAATGTTGCCAATCAAAGTTTGTGATACTAAAGTGAAATCTCTGGCTAAAATGTCAGTTTGATGTAGAATAAAAAATACTTTTAAGTGCTCTGCATTTGCATATTTTAAATCTATTTTTTTTTTATTTTTGGCTATGAAGAATCCATGTTGATTACTATTTTCTTAACATCAATAAAAAAAAGGCATATTGACCCTCTCATCAAACTTAGGCAATGCATTTAGCTACATTTTTAATGTTCCAGATAGCATCTTCTCAGCTATCATGGTAGTTTGTATAAGCAACTTTGATCTTAACAAGCATATTTTTTGAAAGTTACTTATTATATTTGTCATGACTGAATACATTTTCAAATAATTCAAAAAGGACCAAAACAATTATTATTTAAAAGAAGAATTCACAAACCGCTATCAGTTGGTCATAGAGAAGTGTGAAGTTGGTGCTCAGTAGTTCAGTAAAGCCAAGCAGCTTGGACATGAGGTAGTTAGCCTGGACCCTAAGATAAAAATATTTCTCACTGCAAAGTTGCTGAAGTAGATTGAAGGGATAGAAATATTTTACATTAAAAAAAGAGCTGTTAAATTCTACTGAACCTTAAGAAAGTTATAGCTTTATTTTCATTAAAATGAAAATTTTGTGAGTTAAAAGTTTAAAATCCAATGAAACAATAGGGTGTGTGACTTTAGTTAGGATGATCAAAGTTTAAAATCTTGTAAAGGAAAGAGCACACAAATAAGTAGGAAGATGGTTGGCAGGTAACAACTAATAGGTTTTTTAAATTTTAAATGACAATGCAAATCTTGAGTATTATCTTCAAATTAGTAAACAAAATCGGTGCCTATTCAATGTTGCTACTGAATATAACTCAATTTTATAAAAGTTACAGACAACATGAAATTATTTTTCATTTAAAAAAAATACTTGAAACACAAGACAATATAGCTACATTAAAACATAACATTAACAAAAGCAAATAGAAATATCAGGCAATTAAGTAATTTTGCACAATTCTAATATGTAAATGAATAGAATTTTCCTTTAATCTGGTGATTTGAATTCAAAACTATTAGGATTTACAAAAAGTTCTATATCAATTGATTAAACTAACCTATAAAATACAGGCAATGAATAGAAATAATGGGCTCACTCTTTTATAAACATGTGTTTTTATTACAAGAAAATGATCATTCCTTTCTTCAATTTTATGTCAAGAAACATACACCATTTAAATACATTACAAATGTTGTAGCACACAGTTCAAAGAATTTCTCATCCAATATATAGTTTCAATCACAACTAAAAAATCTACTTCATACCTTTTTGGTGTATTTTTGAGCACTTCCCCCAGTTTCTCAAGATATGCAGGTTCCATGTTGATAATTATTTCCTCATTACCAATGAAAATACTGTAAGGTGATGCTAGTCCTTGAAGTAACTCCAACCAATTTAACTACAAAAATAAAACAAACTTGAATTAATGGCTTTTGTAGGCTACATTCTGATGATAACTTTTTTTAAACAATATTTTTTCCACTTTACCACATGTTTTGAAGTTATTTGTTTTGCTTTATTCTGATATCTAAAAACAGTGACAGAACAAATAATCGCAGACAAAATATCCCAGACAAAATATCTCAGGATCATTTGTAATGGAATCCTTTAAATTCAAAAATGATCTTCATAGTATATAACAAAGAGGACTGACAAAAATTCAGCAGTCTTCCTCTATTTGCAAATAAATTTTACTGCTTTAACAACATAGTTTTATGTGAAAAGTCAATCCAGTTGGAGTGTTTTATAAAATGTATTATCAGATTGATTTCACTATGTTTTGTGATGCACATGTTTAAAGTGTTTTTTTTAGACACCTGTCTTCTGTTTATTTTTGGGTTATAATAATAAAGGAATTTGCGAAACTCTGCAACAACAAGAATTTCTATTATGATACCACTAAAATTAGTTCTTTGTAAAAATTAAATTATTACCTGCCAATGAAGTTAAATGTTTTAAAGTAATTTTAAAGGTCCATACCCAGGTGTATTTTCCAAGCAAAGTTGCCACACTCATAGAGTTGTAGGTTGATTCCTGATCTGTTTTATCTACATCACTTCTCATGAGCTGTAAGCATTGACATTTTTGGCATGAAATATTCAACTAAAAGTTGTTACAATTTTGTCATATAATAACTTTAACTAATATATTTTGAAATTTTGTCATGAGACATTCAACTGAATTTTCTGACATTTTTGTCTTGAAATATGCAATTAAAATTGTGGACATTTCCATTATGATATATTCAAAAAAATGTATGGACATTTTTGTCTTACAATACATAACTGCGATCTGGGACATTTTTATGATTAAATATACAAATTTAATCATCACAGAATTAAAATGGGTAACCTGCTGGACCCTCAACAAAAGTGAAGAAACACTGAATGCACTGAAGTATCTTATTTAATAACTGAACCAAGGACATCATTCTTACTTTAGCAAGTTTGATTTCAAAATCCACAACATCTTTTGCATCTGTCTCTGCATCTTGTTTATCAACGTCAAGCTGAACCAGAGTGTCGATGAACCATTTTTCATAGCTCTTAACACGCTGATCATTCCTACCCTCCTGGTACGATGCTTTATTGCTCAGTGTCAGTGATGCATCAGTTATCTAAAATATTTTTACAGATTCCTATCATTATATTATATTTTAGGATAGGGCCTACATTATATAATAATTTAAGATAGGCTCCTATAGGTTCATTATTCAGGAAAGAGTTATGAAGATAATAGAGTGAGAGTTTTGAAAATAATACTCAATTCGGTGGTAAATTTGGAGGTAGTGATGAACAAAGTTGTAACTATTATAGTGAAAAAATTTAAGGTTTTAACTAATAATGTGATAGATTTGAATAAGATCATAACTAATGTGTAGGTTTGAAGGGGGCAATAAAATGTGACTGATGGTAATAAGCTGATTGGGGTTTAAGATTGTAATTCAAAGCAAACCTTGGTAGATGGTAGTAAATGGTCAATAATTAAAGGTTAATGGGATGAATGAGAATAATTATGCTAGTTCAATGTTATTTTGCATATTTGGAAAAAATACTAAATAACAAGATTTTATGTATTTTATTTTCACAAAAATATATTTGTGTAGATGAATGGTGGTCATTCATTTTTAAGACAAAATAAAATAATTTGTAAAGAACACTTACATATATTTTATTCTTATCCACGTTTTTAATATCCCTGTGCACATACAATGTTACCAAGGGCATCAAACCTGCAAAATAATGACCAGGATCAAATTTCATCTTTTTTCAAACATATTATTTTCATAACATTGGCAAGTATATTTTAATTTTATTTGGTTATTTGTTTATTTTAGCAGACAAAAAAAGGGGTAATAGACTGTCTCCCCTAAAATTAGTTTATTATCAATTGTTTATTATCAAGACTAGATAAAAGTTGTCAGAATGGTTGTGTTTGTGGTATAGCATTTTTTTCAAAATTACTTTCTTCTGTGGTTGGCTTTGCTATCTTCTTTTTAATTTATGTAGAGGAATTGTATGAGAAGTTCAGTATATCTAAATTATATGTCTGCATTACTCCATAAAATTTGAGAATAATTTAAAATTTAAAAACTTAAATCATTCAAACCTTTAGTGAGACAAGGAAGTTAAATATATTGAAACATGTGTTTTATCACACTAAAGGGAAATGTACATTGCACAATAATTTTGATCGCACTGAGAGTGTCTTGGGCAAACTATAGGTTATATTATTCAGCAGAGCCCACTAATTGTTATTAAAAGGAAAAAAATAATGCTGTCCCAAAGGAAAAATAATACTGTCCCAGAAAAAAAATATTACTGTGCCAAAAGGGAAAATAGTATTATCCCATAGGAAAAATATTACTGTCCCTAAGGAAAAACATTGTTTAAAAAGGAAAAAAAGTATTGTCCCAGAGCTAGTCTATATATAGTAATGTCACAGAGAAAATAATATTGTGCCTAAAGGGAAAATAGTATTATCTCATAGGAAAAATATTACTGTCCCAAAGGAAAAAAATAGTATTGTTTAAAAGGAGAAAGTCGTAATGTGCCAGAGGTATATATAGTACTGTCGCACAGGGAAAACTAGCAGTCCCAGAAAAAAATATACTACACTTCCAAAGGATAAAATAGAATTGTCCCAAAAGAAAATATAGCATTGCCCCACATCAAAAATAGTAGTCGCATATGAAAAAGTAGCCTAATGTTCAAAAGAAAAATCAATAATACTGTTCCAAGCTTGGTTAATACTAATTAAACCTGGACTTACTCAAGGGTATCATACGGGTAAGGTAACCTATCATAATCTCTACCATTTAACCGCATCGTTTCAAACTGCTAAATCAGACAGACATTTAAATGATCTTAAGTTAAAAAAAAATCCCATGGCCTGCCATTCGAGTTATGTAATTATAATGTGTAAACTAAGGTGTATTGAAACCTGCACACTAACCAGAAAAACTTACGATGTCTAGCCAATTTAATCAAAATGTCCTCCAATTTAAAATCTGTTTCATTCCAGGTGCTGTCCAAGGATGGGAACTTGCCGATGCTCTCGACCAGTTTAAGAAATGGCTCAGCACCCCTCACATTCAATCTGTCTGAAGACATAAGACACATTTCAATTTGATCAAATTACTGAATGGTGGATTTTTTATAATTTTTATAGCAATCTAATATTTTTTTTTAAATCTAATAATCATCAATTATAGATCAGTTTTTAATAAAAGAAAGTTCTATCATTATAGATAAATGCTTTTTAACAACTTTAATTTATTTTTAAAACATTTTTTAGGCAACAAATAAAAACGTTTTATCAACAATCATATTGTATCTAATACAATTAAGTTGTATTTGTAATTGTTTCATATTTTACGTACTAACTCACAATATTTGGTATAAAATGATAACGAAGACAGAAAACAAAGACTTGAATTTTATTTCGTATATCCAGTAAATAAGTGAATTTTGTTACAGATTATCTGGATTATTGCCCTTGAAGGTTTGTACTTCTTGCAGTACTTAGCTATTCAATAAATGCAAGTTTATTCACTAATTTTGTATTATGATATTAAGAACTTACTTAAGTCCATACACCGGGAATAGAATAATCCAGTAAATAAGTGAATTTTGTTACAGATTATCTGGATTATTGCCCTTGAAGGTTTGTACTTCTTGCAGTACTTAGCTATTCAATAAATGCAAGTTTATTCACTAATTTTGTATTATGATATTAAGAACTTACTTAAGTCCATACACCTGGAATAGAATAATCTAGGCAATTTTTTATAGGCAGGGTCTTTGGCTTCATTTTTCATTTCCAACAAACCTGTAAATCATTAACAAAATTTATTAGCTTCACGGTAACATATTGTGTCATTTATACTAGCTCCATATTGTATTTTAAACTTTGGTATTGCTTGTGATCTGAAAGGTTGCTATTAAACTACTAGGATGTTATAACTATTTATTATTATTTTTCTCCTTTATTCTATACACAGATAGTAGGTAATTTAACATGCATGAGTGAATTTTAAAAGAACCATATTTTAATTTATGCACAGACTAACTAAACAAAAAGTGAAAATAGAATTCCAGAAAATTTAAGATTGTTCTTCTTATCAACTGAATCAAAATTGTGGGCCTATGTTCACTTAAAAGCCCCATAGGTCCTAGGCATCAAAAGAAAAGATGCTACCATAAAAGTAGCCTCCCTTGGCTCATTCTGTTATTGCTGTTTTACACAAAGCACTACTTCACCTTCCTGTGCCATTTTGGCAGATCAGTAAGAGATAATCTAATTGTTCTGGCATATGTGAGCATGATCTTTATCTGGTTAAAATGCTATACTTTGGCTTAGTGCAGGCTTAAGAGTAAGTAAAGAAGGCCAAGGTGTTTATATTGGAAGGGAGATCACATAAATAGGTTAGCCTACCTGAGCATATTGTTAATATTATGTGCATACTGTTAATATTCTGTGCAAATTGTTAATATTTTGTGCATATTGCTAACATTGTTTCTTCCAGTCATCTCTTTGGGTGGGGGTGGGGGGGGAGGGAGCCCACTCACCACCTCCCCCCCCCCCCTCCAAAAGAAAGTCTACAGCCCCCCCACAAACAAAATGGAATTTATTTAGAAAATATATACTTTTAACAGTGTCCATCCCCTCCCCCGGAAATTTTAAAGTGCCCCTCCCCCCCCCCCCCCCCCCCCACCCACCAGGAGAAAAAAGTCTGGAAGAAACACTGGTAGGCATATCAGAAGTTATTAGAGGAAATGTTAGAACTCTCCCCTCCCCCCCCCCCCCCTCCCCATATTTCCCCTCCCTAAATGAAATGACCCCATCCCCTTTAAAAATAACATAACAACGCCCCCCCCCCCCCCCCACACACACACTGATAACTGTCACACATGACTTCGTTAAACCAAGATTAATTAGGACTATTTTTAATAACAATCTTTTTTTTTTTAGTTTTATATTAATATTTCTGAATAAATATGTAGTACTTTTGTTTTGTTTTTTCAGAACATAGGCTCACCCTTTATCTTGATATAGTACTTTTTTTGTTTAATCAGAACATAGGCTCACCCTTGATCTTGACCGAATTCCCATCATTGATTGTTGAGGCTAAATCAATCTTCGTTTCGTGAGGTTTGAGCTCCTGCTTTTTTAACCAACCACCGCAAGCGTATTCGTAGAAATCGTCGCATGGATTCACTTTTTCGTTCATTTTCTCTTTCAAGCGTGATGCTGTGGACGAAACAGTAGATCAACATATTATAATCTACCAGGGAAAAAAACGCCTTTAAATGTAGGCTATATAATTTCTGCTTTTTAATAGTCAAATTTACGAGAAACGCTGGAATTAAGGTACTGTATTTTAATTTTCGAAAGTTTTTGTAGAGGTTATACATCAATGACATCATTAAAAGTTTAGATTATAATTATCTATCATCAGGTGATTCAGCTGACAGTTATTCTTTCCGGAATCTCTCCGGGGAGGGGGGGGCGTTGCTCCGAACAAAATAAAATCTATATAGGAAATATATACTTTTACTGGCGCCTGCTACCCCGGAAAATTTTGCCCCCCTCCCCCCGAAAAAGTGTGAAGGAAACACTGTCAGCTGCTAAACTGTGTATGGGGAGAAAGGCGGAGGGGGGGGGGAAGAATTAACTTGCAGGGGCGCGTCACGTAAATTTTAATCCCAGACGTCCACAGCCCCCGCCCCCTTATACAGACGATATACCAAATTCTGAAAGAAACGCTGTTCCAAGAAATTAGTGCAAAAAAGATACAAACATTGCATTTACAGACTCTCTTTACTAAATGTACCATCCAAAACATCTTTAGAGATCTACCTTTCTCCAAAACAAGTACCCATTTTACACAAACCATTATATCAGTTTTCCGGAAATTGTGTATTTGAAAGTAAAATATCCCCATCATCATTGTGTTAATCCAGCATATAAAAGAAGGACGTGTGTGTGTGTATGTGTTTGTATGTGTGTGTGTGGATGGGGGAGGGGAGGTAGTGGTCCGCTTCTGGTTGACACAAATATGTTGCCATTTCATATCTACGAGCCGGCCCGCGGCATAACATACGCCGCTATTTAGTTGTTTCTAATTTTCAATATTTCATAATTTGTGAATTCGACAGTACCAACGCTGACACTGAAAATATTTCTTTAAAACACTATAAGTAGCTCGTTAAGGACCATAACCCCCCCCCCCCCCTTCCTTCCCTCCCCCCCCCCCCCTACGTTTAAAATCGTTGGCTCTGCTTGTAAACATTTAGAGTGAACACAGCTCACTAAAACCATGTAGGGGTGGGGAGGTAGGGAGAGCGTTTGCAGCTTGTTTTCTAACGGCTCGAAGAAGAGAATTATATATATAGATAGATAAGACCTTATTCAATTCCAAACTACTAGTTCGCCTATTGAAATTATCGTTTGTCACATCACCATTGTTTTTTCCAAGCATCTCTTCGGAGGGGGGGGGGGGAGATTAATGGAATTTATATAGAAAATATACTTTTACCAGTGTCCCCCCCCCCTCCCCCGGAAAATGTTGCCCGGGCCCCGAAAATATCAAGTCCCCCCCCACCCCCTGGAGAAAAAAGTCTGGCAGAAACACTGTACATCACCAACAGAAATAAACAAAAACACTTTGAAACATACCTGATCGTACGCAGTTCTCTGTTAAACATGTTACTGAAATACAAAGTACATGACGAGGATTATTGAATTAGAGGAGCTGTGTTCATGAATGTTTAGTAGGAGGAATGGCCTATTACTTCTGCTTATGTTAAACTGAATTAACTGCAACTAGAGAATATTTTTACATTATCTTTAGAACTATTGAAAGTATAAAGTTATCTCCTTCAACAATATTGCAAACTCCACTGCAACGGTTTAATCATCTGCTACAAAAATATCTTTAACTCTACTGCAACTACAAAGTCACCTGCTACTACAATATCTTTAACTCTACTGCAACTACAGTCGACTACTACAAAAATATCTTTAACTCTACTGCAACTACAGTCGACTACTACAACAATATATTTAACTCTACTGCATCTATATAATCATCTGCTACAAAAAATATATTTAACTCTACTGCATCTATATAATCATCTGCGGCAAAAAATATCTTTAACTCTACTGCACCTATATAATCATCTGCTACCACAATATCTTTAACTCTACTACAACTAAAAGGTCCTATGCTTCAACAATATCTTTAACTCTACTGCACCTATGTAATCATCTGCTACAAAAAATATCTTTAACTCTACTGCATCTATATAATTATCTTCGACTACAATATCTTTAACTCTACTACAACTAAAAGGTCCTATGCTTCAACAATATCTTTAACTCTACTGCACCTATGTAATCATCTGCTACAAAAAATATCTTTAACTCAACTGCATCTATATAATTATCTGCGACTACAATATCTTTAACTCTACTACAACTAAAAGGTCCTATGCTTCAACGATATATTTAATTCTACTACAACTACAAAGTCATCTGCTACAGCAATATCTTTAACTCAACTACAACTAAAAAGTCTTATGCTTCAACAATATCTTTATCTCTACTGCAACTACAAAGTCAAGTCGTCTGCCGTAGCATTACTTAAATAAATCATCCAAAATATTAACTCCTTTACCTCCTTCTGTTGCTTACCTACGGGGGGAGTGGCGAAGAAATAAAAAATGATAAAGGCAGCGACGAAGCCCAAGCAGATGATGAGCACGAAGATAACCAAGACGAGCAAAACCTTCTCTAGCCGGCTCCTCTTTCCCATGCATCCTTGGCGAGGGGGTGTGGCGTTGGACGGTATGACCGTGACTGGCTGGGTTATCGTGACCTCCTCTGGTGGAGGTGGGGGAGGCTCTGGTTCCACTCTGTAAAAAAAAAATAATAATTTAAAATCCCACTGTAAGTTTTATTTGTAGGTAGTGTATTATCTTTATGAATGGTAAGTAAGAAAAAAAGATTAATGTTATTTTATCAAGTAGAATCTTGCTGAAACAAATCTGTAGGCCTATATCTAATAGTTTTCCCAACGTATTTTTTTCCACACAAAAAAGCCGGAGATAAAACGCTATCGTACACGAAACGATGTTTAGATGAGCTTTAAATTGCACATTTCTAAGGATTTTTTTGTTACGTGCGTCAACTGTTTTTTTTTTTTTTTTTTTTTTACCTGTAGGCCTACCTAAGTTTTATATTTCCAACAAAGTTGGAAAAAGGATGAATTTTTAAAAATATATATATAAAGCCAGGTCTGAAACTATTTTTAGCTGATACAGAATTTAGATATGATCGTCCAAAATGTACGTAATCGTATGCGTTATCTTGTAGCACAAAAAATAAACGTGTATTCAATGATCATGTCTTCAGATTGCACCAAAGAAAAATTAGAATTTTATTTCGTTTCACAAAAAAAAAATTTGGTCACAAACCGCCTAAAATTACGTCACACCTCAGCCTACCTTTGCCCCCCCCCCCCCCGTCACACTTTCTGACACACACTCATCCCCCTGGTCACAAAAGCCAGACCCCCCCCCCCCACTTTAAGAGTGTGTCCTCCCTTTGTGAAAGAGTCATTATTAAACCGCTGTATCTCAACAAGGGAACACATAGGTTGTAAGAAATATTATAATTTAAACATTTCAGATAGTGAATTGCTATCTGACTTGTTTCCCTAATTATCTTTCCTTATACAAAGAAATAAATTACAATAAGTTGTGTTACGTGTGTCTATGTGTGTTGGTGGGCGGGGGGGGGGGGTACGTTTTCATGATATTTTTCTCACACGTACATTTAAATTTTAAAATGTTTTCGTTTTATTTGTTTGAACTGACACACATTTAATTAAACACGCCATGTTTTTTTGTTGCTTGTTCGTTTAATTAATTAATAGTGCTTGACAGATTGTGATATGATTTTTGGCTTAGTTTCTACTACTATCTTACATTTTGCAGCCTTTTTTGTAGCACACATTTTATTGCATACATTTTAGCTTATATTTTGTAGCAAACAGTTTGTATCATACATTTTAAAGCACGTATTTCGTAAGTACACGTTGAATGTTCCGAAATAATATTTTTACCTTGTTAATATATTAAAGCAGTTCTGTTTCACACATGCAGCTTATATTTACCATAAAGCCATAACTCAGGTCTATAAAACATCTCTTTGCCAGGTCGTAACTCAAAAATTTTAAAAATGAAAAAAAAAGGATTTAAAAAAGATTCGTTACATGGCAACACAGGATGTGAGTTATAAATAGATGTATGCTTCGTGAAGGTCGAAGGTCAATGAGTCGTGATCACCCTACTCAATTAACCAGCTGCCTAGGCAAGAGTCTGGTACTCAACTAAATGTAACTTGCAGACTTGAGCTGATATTGTAAACATGTGTTTATCCTTAAAACCCCATGAGACCATGGGGAGTAATATATAGGCCAGTGTGTAGAAGTATGTGGGGTTGGTTAATAATTTGTTGGTATGTGGGTTGGTAATAATGTATTGACCATATGTATGTGGAAAGGCGAAACATATCCAAGAAAAAATTGTTGAACAACACGTTCAGCTTACTGACCTCTCCAGCGATACTGAGGTCAATGAAATTGACTAATACGACGTTGAATCATAATTACCTATTTAATGAAATCCAAGTTGTCTGCTTTATATTTTTTATCGCTATACGTGTAATATATTTCGATTTGCCCTCTTTCCGTACATTGACGTGTAGTGCAGAAGACCACTTCTCTATCTATTTGGTTATATGAATGTACGCGTTGTATCTATGCAATATATATATATATATATATATATATATATATATATATATATATATATATATATATATATTTCCCCTCCTATTTACAAAAAAAATTTCTACTTGGTTTATGTGTCCTATTTTTAGCTATAAGCACAGAAAAATGAAGCCGAAAATTGGAATCCCCCCCCCCCCCCACACACACACCGTCTCGCACACCCTCCACTATCCCACCCTACATCAATGTGCACGGCTACCCTTCAAAGCTTCCTCCCACATGCTCGACCGCCCCAGCACTCATTGACATTTCACTCTTTAAACAGCCTCTATCCCACCCCTATATCCCACTCACCACACGTACGCTCAACTCGACGCCATATTCAAATTCGCAACTTTAAAAATCTGTCACCGGCCATCTTACGAAACAAACTCCCTGGCCTTTCTTGTATCATTACGATTGTGTGTTATTTTCCTTGATGAGATTCTGAGATGACGAATGCCATCCGAGATGTATTATCCGCCATGCAACAAAGGTCAAGGGTCGAATTCTTCTTAATGTCAGAAGACAGCAAAATATGCTACCCTTATTGTTGCATTTTGAACAATCTGTATGCAGAATTTTTACAACACCAAGCCCGATTATGTAGGCCTGGGTTAAAGGATTATTTAGTGGGGATTGTTGATCCAATAGCAATTAATGTTTAATGTAGTTTTATTGTTTTGATATTTCGAAACAACTTAACTTAATAAGGCTGATCTGAATGTTGTTTTCATATATTTGACTAAGTTTATGTCATTTTATTCTTGTATTTTTTATTAGGATGTTTTAAAAACTGTATGCTTACATAGGAGGAGGGGGTTGGTTTTTAGTGAAGAAGTGTGAGAGTGACATTATTTTGGTGATACGATGTGTGGCGATCGGATTAGGTGGGGGGGGAGGGGTTAAAAATTCGGCTAAGAAGCGTGAGGTGTTCTATGAATGAACATTTTGAGTAAGTTACTATAAACATACAGTGGGTAAAAAACGGGTCTTATGTACGTTGTGGAGTAACACGAGTACCCCACTCAATATTTAAACAATTGCAATTCTGTGATCTCGGCTTCTGATGGGATAGTGTGGTCAACTCAATGACCAGCCGCTTTTACTTTCCCCAAGGTGAGTTAAGTACCCGTTACAGCTATGTGGACTCAGGGACTTTCTACCTACTTGAACTCGGATTCCAACTCGAAACTTTTGGGTCAGCAGTCTACGGCAAGGCGGTTCAACGTGAAGCTTGAAATAGGAAAAGGGGGACACAAGAAACATATTCTTATTAGAGTTAACTCTCATTTCCACATTATAATGTCGTCCAGTGCTGTCATTTGTAAGCTCCCATCCAATGCCCTACGTCACTCACTCTCTCTCTCTCAGCTGCAAACGATATGTGTGTGGGGAACATCTGCAACACCTCGTGTGTTTATGCGTGTGTATGTGTGTGCGTGTGTATGTAAATATCTTTTTTTTCAGAATTCGCGCCACCGGTCTATGACGTCATCACGCGGCACGCAAACCCGGCGGGCTAGAACACACGTAACTCAGTTGAAAGACCCCCCCCCCACCCCCCCCCCCTTCAACGAATTCCTTGAGCCCCGCCCTTCCTGCCACATGACCTCGGGTTCCCTTTGGTAAAACCTGGAATGCGCACAAGAACCCCCCAGACGTTGATTTATTTCCGCGAGCTCTGACGGTTTGCCGGAAAGTGAAAAATAAACAAATAAATAAATAATCTATAACACTGCTGGAAATATAATGATGAAACTATTAACCCTCTTTGATATAAGTGTCGAGATTTAGGTTTAAATAAACCATGAATATTTTGTCCACATTTATAAATTATTTCTTTGTAAAAACCTTTGTAGCTTAATACGTATGTATATACAGTTCATTAAAAAAAAGAGTAATTAATTTCACTTAATTTGGCTTCATACGTATCAGATACACTTTAAATCACAAACTAGTGCATTCGTATTTTAAAATTAATATCGAGGATCATGCACATAATATATTAACTAAAGTGGTGGGGTAGTGGTTTAAAATTTGTTTCTACAAACACAAGGCAATGACTTTGATTTTTCTGCATATCTTGGATTATTCATGGTTGGTAAAATGAATCGGATGTTCCAACTGGCTTGAATTTTTTTTAATAAAGCTTCACGGTTGTTTTTAATGAAAATATGATTATTCCCTAAAATTACGCATTCTTCATTAATAAAAAAAAAACTATTACTATATTACTAAACATAGTCAATGATTATGTTTTTGTTTCGTCTCAGTCATTAAAAACTTAACGCGAAGTCTGTAGCATACTGTCTGAAATCATAGCTAGCTACCCCACCCCCCTCTTTCTTAACGTAAAACAACAATCAGAGGTGAACGTTCTCTTAAGAAGACATTAACATAAACTTTTACGTCCATAAAGCCGATCTGCAGGAGGCTGTTATAGACAACTATGTATTGTCTTGATGCACCTGTTTCTGTAAAATGTTGATTGGAGATACAATGGGTAGACGAATTGTGAACGTAGTTACCTAGCATGACTAGTGCTGTATATCAGTTTTATAATACGATATGCAAGCTAGTTATAACTTCAATGTATTTATTCCTACTTCAGCGATTGTTTAAAAATACGTGTGTGAGTGACGCTGTCATCAAAATCAGTGCAGTAGATGCTAGCATCTCCCCAGAAAATTAAATTACAGCAGTTGGTGGTATTGGGCATCTATGGTCATCAATTCTATTAGATGCGTCTTAAGGTGATTAAGTGTCGACCGGATAGGGTGGGGGTGGGGGTAGGGGGGAAGGGGTAGAGCAGTAGTGTACTAGTGACTTTTTGCGTGTGAAAAAAATATTCAATTTTCAAAGATTTTTTTTAAAAGCGTGACATTATCAAATAGATTTTTTGTTCTAATAATGTGGGAACCGATGCCAATGTTTGAGTTATGACGTATCGACCACACTTATACTTGAGACTGACATGCTGGCTACAGGTGTGTGTTTGTGTTTATATGTGTGTATGTTTGTGTGGGTATATGTCAATGTATGTGCGTGCTCATGTATGTATGAGTGCGCGTGTTTCTA